GACTCCTGCCTTCTTTTGCGTTCCGTTCACCTGGAAATTCACGTACCTTCCTCCCACTTTGACTCTGTGCGTCTCTTGTGGTGAGATGAGTTTCCTGGATGCAGCAAATTATTGGGTCATTTTTTTTGTTTTTAAATCCAGTTTGCCATTTTGTGTCTTTTCAGTGGTGAATTTAGATCATTGATGTTCAGGCTGGTTATTGAAATGTGATTGTTTGTCTCCATCATGAGGCTCTTTTTTTTTGAATTGGACTCTCACTCTGTTGCCCAGACTGGAATGTAGTGGCACGCTCCTGGCCTCTGCAGCTTATACCTACTGGGCTCTGGCGATCTTTCCACTTCAGCCTTCCAAGTAGCTGGAACTACAGGCGCGCGCTACCACACTCGGCTAGTTTTTGATTTATTGTAGAGACGAGGTCTCACCACGTTGCCTGGGCAGTTCTCGAACCCACAGGCTCAGGCAATTCACTCACCTGGCCTCCCAAAGTGCTAGGATTACAGGCTGAGCCACCGAGCCTGGCCATGAGGTTCTTATAAAGCTTTTTCTTTTAACTTTTGGGTTGATGTATGTGTGTATTTTCAAGTCTGCAGTTGTAGTGTATTCTCTGTTGATTCTGTGTTCTCCTGTTCTCTTGGGAAGTGCATGGTCATTCTTTTTTTCTTCCTTTTGCGCTTAATACCTTTTCAAGCATCTCTTGTAGAGCTGTTCTGAAAGCTGCATAACTCTTAGGGATTGGGTGTGTGGAAAGGATTTTAATTCTCCTGTGTGTGGAAAGGACTTTAATTCTCCTGTTGAAGCTGAGCTTGGCCGGGTAGGAAATTCTTGGTTGAAATGGTTTATCGTTGAGGACTTTGAATATTGGACTTCAGTCCCTTATAGCTTGTAGCGTTTCTGCCAGTCGGGCTACTGCTATTTTGATTGGTTTTCCCTGGTAGGTAGTCTGACCTTTCCCTCCTGCTGCCTTCGAGATCTTTTCTTTTGTACCTACTTTATGTAGGCACATTACTCTGTGTCTGCGGGTCAGTAGTCTTCTCATTTTATTTCTTGTGGAGATTCTCTGTATCTCTTGCGTTTGGATGGTCACATCTCTGGTGAGATGGGGAAAGTTTTCTTGAATAACTTCCTGGAATACTTGCTCCTAGGTGTTCTCCATTTCCCTTCTCTTCTTCTGGGCTACCAATCAGGTGTAGGTTCGGCCTCTTGATCTAATCACACATCTCTTGGAGGCTTTGTTCTTTCTGAGTTTTTTTCCCCTATGTTTTTTACAGATTGGGTTGATTCCATGTTTTGGTCTTCACGTTCTGAGGTTATTTCTTCTGCTTGATTAATTCTGCTTTTCTTTTTTTTTTTTTTGAGTTGGAGTCACTCTGTCGCACAGACTGGAGTGCAGTGGCCACTCCTGGCCACCGCAGCCTTGACCCGCTGGGCTCTGGGGATCCTTCTGCCTCAGCCTTCCAAGTAGCTGGAACTACAGGTGCACTCTACCACGCCCAGCTAATTTTTTTATTTATTGTAGAGATGAGGTCTCGCCAAGTTGCCCAGGCGGGTCTCGAACCCGCGGGCTCAGGCAGTCCACTCACCTCAGCCTCCCAAAGGCGCGGGGATGACAGGCTGAGCCACCGAGCCGGCTTTTCTTGCCTGTCATCTTATGATTTATTTCCTGGATGAATTTTTTTTATGGCCAAAAATCTCTGTTATAAGTTCTTTCTGTGTTGCATGTTGTCTTTCTTGAGTCTTATTCACTCTTTCCATCCATTCCTTAATCCCTTTTGTTTTCTAGGGCCGGTCATTGTTGACTTCCATTGTTTGGGCTCTGAGGTCTGATTTTTGCAGACATTTTCTCTTTGGCACACTGGGAATTATCTGTGTTCTTCCATTGATTTTTCCTCATTGGTTACAGATGTCTTTCTTTTCTCTTTAGTTTGTCATTCAGTGGCAGTGGGAGAGGCTTTCACTTCTGATGTTTGCTCAGCCCTCGATTCTCGTCAGGGCTCAGGATTTGTTCTATTTTGAAACAGGGCTGTGGGTGGGAAGTTTTGCTGTCTCTTGTAGTTTTGAGAGTTGAATAATGCGGAGGGTGGGGAGCTGGGATTCAGAAATGGCTCGCAAGTCTCAGTGTTCAGTGATCGTGGTATTGGTTCCCTGAGACGCACTCTCCACCAGCACGCCATATGACATTGCAGTGGGTCTATGTGTATACCCCCTGAGTCCAAGATTCAGTAACACAATGACAAGAACAGAGAAAAGTAGAATGAAGTTAAGATGGACGAAAATAAAAAAGATAGAAAAGCAAAAGCAGAAACCAAAGCAAAAAAGAATTACACACACACACCCCCAAAACAAACTGGAAACAAACCCAAAAAAAACAAAACAAAAACCAAAAAAACAAGATAACAACACACACACACCCCACAAAATGAAAGAAGAATAAAAGAAGAGAGGAAGACAAGGAATTCCAGTGGAACCCTCACACATACATTCACACACACATTAAGCTAAAAAGAAGAGAACAGAAAGCCAGACAAAAAGCCTGAAAGATGAACACTCAATCATTCATGTGCACACATTAGCAGAAAACAAATAATGAAAGAAAAAAAAGTGAGGAGCGAATGCAGATCGAGCCCTCACATACACCTTCATGCACAAAGGAAAAGAGAAGAAAGAAGAAGTCATAAAACCAAAGACAGCCTTCCCTCGTGTGGCAGATCCTGTGCTCGTTCCTTTTAGCTGCTCGCAGGCCAGCCCCTCTGCTGTGTCTCCTGCGGAGCTGTGGCCTTATTCACAGCCTGTGTCCAGCCTGGGGAAGGCGTGGGAGGGGGTGGAGGTGGGTGGGGCTTCAGTCCCCCCTCCCAGTCCCACGTGGCCAGGGGGATCCCTTCTGGTGCGGATGTGTGGTCTTGTCTCTTCAATAGACGGTTGGTGCGTTGGGGGGGTGGCCCGCCCCAGCCAGGCTTACCCTGGGGTAGAGTCCTTCCGTTACTGCTGACGTCCAGACTCTGGGACGCCCCTCTCCGTCGTGTCCCAGTCGTGTGGTCTGTTGTCCAGAGGGTTGCTGGGGAGGCGTGGGTTAGGCCAGCCCCAGACCCACCGCCATCTCTTTCGGCTCTTCGGCGTCTTCCTCCTCCTTTTCTGGCCACACCCTTCGTCCCATGGCTGAATCAGGGTGGGACGTGGGGTCATCCTGTCCCTCTGGAGTGTGTGCTTTTGGGATATTCCCTCTGGGTCACGATCAACCCCTGAGTCGTTAATCTGCCGGGCAGAGATTGGGTCTGTGGTTCCGCGGTGAGCAAGCCGGAGCGCTTTCCTGCCCAGTTTCGAGATGCTGGCGGGGTGCCTGTCGGGTCTTCCCCAGAGGGACTCGGCCTCTGGGCTCCCTCTCCGTGCTTCCTCCGCAGCCCTTGCCGCCCGTGTCCGGCCAGGCGCTGCGGGACCCGGCAGAGTCTGGAGCCGGCGGTCCCTCCCAGCAACTTCTTCCCGGGAAGGGCTTTGCTGATTTCTAAAAAATGGTGCTCGGCTTCTGTGTCCCGGGAAGTGCTCGGGTCCAAGCGGAGCAGCTGTGGCACCCGCTGCTTCACCAGGAGAGCCCTGGCCACTTGCTCCCAAGGTCCCACTCAGGCAGCCACTCCCTAACTTTTCCACGCACTCACTCCCTCACTCACGCTGGGACTTGCGTCCCGCCACCATCTTCCTCCCTTCTCCCACATCTGTTTTTCTTTATTATTATCAATATTTTTTATTATGGTTTTGTGGGATACAGTTAAGGGTTAGGTGTACAGTTACGTTTCATTCAGGCACCCTGTTGATAAGAGGTGGTTCCCCATCCCCAGACAGATATTTGCTACTGTTAATCCCATCCCCCTCCCCCCCATAGTTTCCCAGTACCGTCAGTCATTTTTTTATAGTAATACATTGGATGTTCAAGACTGTAATACCCCCTTCACACATCTGTTTTTAAGACCCGTGGTCTGTGCGTCTGAGTTCTCAGTTGCCGTCTATCCCTGACTCCTCCCGTTCTCCCCAGTCACAAATGTAGTCGATTCTTGGACCACGTGGGGGCCAGGGGCACCGATCCCTCTTGCAGTCAGAAACCTGATGACGCCTTTTGACATCCCCGGAAATTTAACTGCTAATTGCCTGTGGTTGATCAGAACTGTTACTGAAAGCACAAACCGTTCACGAATGCGTGTTTTGCATGTTATGTGTATCGTGTGCTATGTGGTCTTACAACAAAGTAGGCCAGCGAAAAGAAAGTGTCCTTGAGAAAGTCATAAGGAAGACGAAGCACGTACTGTTTGTGAAACTGGGAGAGGATCATCGTGAAGGCCTTCATCCTCCTCGTCCTCTTGGCGAGAAGCTGAGGAGGAGGCGGAGGAGGCGGAGGAGTTGGCCTGGTTGTTTCGGGGTGGCGGAAGTGGAAGAAAAGCCTGTGTTGTTCAAGAGTGAAGTGTGTCTTCAACACTGACTTTCTTCCTCTGGCTTTCCTAGGTGAGTTGTGAACTTCAGTTGCTGCTGCTGTTTTCGTATCTCTTATCCCGTCTTGCATCTTAGGCCGGGTTCCTCAGGGCCAGAGCCTGAGTCAGGGTTCTGGTGCACATGGTGGTTCTTCCGGGGAGACCTCTCAGGAGTGAGGGGTGAAGGGGGAACAGAGCCGATCTGCGTGTGGTCTGATCCCCTGGGTGCGCGGGGGCAGGAGGAGCCGGCACAGGCCGGTCCCCTTAGAGACGAGGGGCTGGGCTTGCGGCTCCATGGCCATCCGTCGTTGGCCGTGCTCCCCCAGCCCCCTTGGGGAGGACTCGACCTCCCAGGCAGTTCTCCGGAGAAGGTTGCCACTACGAGCCGTGAGAGCCAGTGTGCACAGCAGCAGGGGTGGGTGGTCTACCCGCCCGGTGAGGGAGACCTGGACAGGCACCAGCGGCACCTGCTGTGCTTGGCGACCTCAGGCAACTTGGAGCCACACACCTCCTCTTTGTGGTGACTCTGCCTTGCATTGCCGCCCACAGGCTCCACCAAGGACCTGATCGAGACGTGCTGTGCGGCTGGACAGCAGTGGGCCATCGACAACGACGAGTGCCTGGAAATCCCCGAGAATGGCGCCGAGGGTGACGTCTGCAGGTAGGGCGGGCACCCACTCGCCTCCGCCAGACCCCTGCTGGCCTTGGACCTGGGCCCCGGCAGCCCAGGGTGAGCCCCCTTCACCTGCCTCCAGGTGTGTGCGGTTGCCTGGGTATGGCCGCTGTGGGCCCTCTGGCCAGGCTTCCTCTAGGCGTGGAGGGTCTGAGGCTGGTCCCAAGAATCAACTAGCCGCCTCCATGGGTAGCTGGTCCAGTGAGCATAAGCGAGGAGTGTCCACTGTGGAGCAAGTCTTCAAGGATTGTCATCGTCTGGGAACAGTCAGGCGCTTCCCTCGCACACCGCGTTGCTGCCGTGTGACGCCCAGCCCCCGCAGGCTTTTCCCCCAGCCCTCCTCCTGTCCCCGTGTTGCCACCCTTAGGTTTCCTAAAGGCTGGACTCTCAGCACCCTCCCCTGCTGCCTGCTGGCTGTTTCTTCGCAGCAAAGGAGTCATTTGTCCCCAGCCATTGTCCCACAGAAAACTTCATCAGTGGCGATACCAACCAATCAATGGACAGAACAGTGTCTGAGCCCCAGCACGTGACTTGGACCCTGTATTACAGGGCATGCCGCTGTGGATGGTACAGATGACAGTTCACTTGCTGCTGCTGTTTTCGTATCTCTGACGCCATCTTGCATCTCAGGCCGGGTTCCTTTGGACCAGAGCTCGGGGCTTGCTTTCTAGAAAGTTGGAGGGACAGGAAGGTCTCCTCTGCCAGGCCCAGGAGAGATCTCGGTCAGCTGCTCGCCCTTTCTCTTTCCCAAGGACGCCATTTAGCCTGTTCTTTCTCCAGACAAGGAAGGCGAGGCTCAGAGAGGCGCCGTGAGTCGTCCGAAGCTGCCCAGCTCGTTGGCAGAGGGGCCAGGACCGGAGCCCCTGCTTTCAGATGTCCAACCCCTGCGGGGCCCTTTAGGAAAATGTGTATTTTGACCTTATCCCTTTCCGTTTCCTTCTGCCGACCCGCCGGTCTGGGGCTACGTAGGAGCTGGAGCACACACCCTCTAGACCCCTGGCGTTTGGGGCCAACCAGCCCTAGTGCTCAGTGCTCGGCCCTCGGGTGCACTTGCCCCCCCTCTGGTGATGGGACTCACCACGTCACGGTCAGCAAGTTCTCTCACCGGATCATCCTCGGGGGGGTGCTGAGCCCTGTCCCTGCAGCTCGCTGTCCCGGCTCTTCCTCTGCGCTGCTGACTCATCAGCTCCCTCCGCCCCAGGGCACAGAGATGGGCAGGCTGTGACCAGGGCCTGGACACCCGGCCCGCCCAGCCCTTCCTGGGACTGGATCTCCCTGTCCGTGTTGCCTCTGGGGAGGGGTCTCCGAGTACCAGTCCACTCCCTCAGAGCTCAGGGGTACACAGCTCTGAGTCCAGCGGGACCCGGACCTGCGTCTTCTTGGTTTAAACCAAGACAAAACCCACGTGACCCGGCGAGGATGCCCCAGCCTCACCTGCTGGAGAGCTTGGGCAGGGCTGCCCTTCTCGGAGCCTCGCTCGGCTTCCCTCTGGACGGGGGGCAGGTGCTTGGGGGCTGAGGCGCACCTTCTGTTGCAGGACAGCCCAGAGGCGCTGCTGTGTCTCCTACTTGCAGGAGAAGAGCTGCATGGCCGGCGTCCTGGGGGCCAAGGAGGGCGAGGCCTGTGGGGCCGAGGACGGCAGCACCTGCAGCGTTTCCCTGTACAAGGCAAGCTTGCCCTGCGGCGTCCACAACCGGTGCAGGGAGGGGGTGGGAGGCTGGCCTGGGCCTGAGGGCCTGAGGGGCCCCAGGGGCTCCTTCTGGAAGGGACACTTGTGCCTGGGGCTGGGGGGGGGACGCCCCATCTGCACGGAAAACTTCATCAGTGATGATATCGACCAATCAGTGGACAGAATGATGTCTGAGCCCCAGCGCGTGACTCGGGCCCTGTTTTAGGCGTCAGAAATGCAGCCATGGATAATACAGATGGCAGTTCCCACCCCCTTGGGGCTTGCTTTCTAGAAAGCTGGAGGGACAGGAAGATCCAGAAGAGTGTGTTAGTGGATGGTGTGTTAGCAGGTGGCCCTGCAGGGGAGGAAGGGATGAGCAGTGCCTGGACTGGGGCGGGGCTGGCGTTTCCGCTGGCAGTGGCTGGGGACGGCCTCATGGGAAGGGGATGCTGTGTAATGCCCTGGGAGATGGTGAGCCACGCGGGAATGCCTTCCAGGCAGAGGGAGCAGCTGGTGCACAGGCCCTGAGCTAAGAGCCTGCTGGGCGTGTCCAAGGAGTGCCTGGGAGGCCTCTGTGGCTGGAGTGGGGCGGGAAGCAGCAGAGCTGAGGCCAGAGACGCGACGGCAGGTCCTGTCCACCACTGGAAGACTGTGGCCTGACTCTGAGTGGGGCAGGGGCCATGGGGAGCTTTGAGGGTCACAGTCCCCTGGGTCCCCTCTGGCAGTAGCGGGGACAAGTCATCGAGGGTGGTTCTCCCATATGGGCAGGGGATCAGGGCTTGGTAAAATCCCACAGGCCATAGAGGGGCAGGAAGAAAGGGAGGGCTCCAGGAAGAAGGGGTGGCGTGAGGGGACACACAGGCCGGAGTGTGGGAATGGGGCGTGTGACCCAGCAGGTCTGGCGGCAGCAGGGACAGGCCGCCAGCAGTCCTTGGGTTGGAGCCTGGAGGACCGTAATGCCACACTGAGAACTTCGGGTGTCCCACGGAGGGCCTGCAGGGAGGATTTGCAGAGATGCGTTGTGTGTGAGGGCTCATGCTGCCCTCTGGGGCCAGGGCGTCGAGTTGGCTACACCTCATGGGAAACTCTCTAGACACTGGTTTTTCTCTCGTATGCTGGAGGCTGGAGGCAGGGCTGCTCAAGTCAGAGGAGTGAATGACTCCGTGGCTGTCAGGGATAGGGGTGCAGGCTGCTGCCACTCTAATTTTCTGCCACGAAGTCCAGGATAACAATTTGAGCTCTGGGCAGAGGCAGGAGCAAGGCGCCAAAGAGCCCTCCCCCCCTTTTTTTTGTAGATAAATCCTTTTATTTCTTTTGGGTAGATGCTTGAAAATATAGTTTCAAGGATCATTGACTTTCTTTTTCTTTTTTTTATTATAAAGATGGGGCGTCCAATCCAGGGGTAGGCATACAAACGTGGATTATGCAGGTACCCCAAAGAGCCTCTTCTTTTATTGTTTATTTTTTTATTTTTTGAGTTGGAGTCTCACTCGGTCGCCCAGACTGGTGTGCAGGGACCGCTACCGGCGATCCTTCCGCCTCAGCCTTCCGAGTAGCCGGAATTACAGGCGCACGCTACCACGCCCGGCTGACTTTTTGATTGATTGTAGAGATGAGGTCTCGCTGCCCAGGCGGGTCTCGAACCCGCGGGCTCAGGCAATCCACTCACCTCAGCCTCCCAAAGGCGCGGGATGACAGGCTGAGCCCCGAGCCCGGCAGAGCCTCTTCTTTTAAACTAACTTTGATTGCAGTGAAATACACATGATGTAAAAGGAACCATTGTAATCATCTCTAGGCATACAGTTCGGTGGCATTAAGCACACCCACGCTGCTGTGCAACCGTCACCACCTTCCGCCTCAGAACGTTTCATCTTCCAAAGCGAAACTCTGCATTATTCAACACGAGCTCCCCACTGGCTCCTCCCCAGCCCCAGCGCCCGCCATTCCACTTCCTGTCTCCATGAGTCTGGCTGCTCTAGGGACCCTGCAGACGTGGAATCCTACGGGGTTTGTCCGTCGTGCTTGGTTGTTGCCCTTAGCGTGATGTCCTCAAGCTTCTTCCCCGTGGCAGCGTGCATCGGAATTCCCTTCCAAGGACGGAGGGTCTTCCGCTGTGTGTACAGACCTCACCCGGCTGACCCCTCATCCCCTGGACCCTTGGCTTGCATCCACCTTCAGGCCGTTGTGAATAATGCCGCTATGAACGCGGGTGCGAGGTCTGCCTTCTCTGAGGGCGGACTGTACTTCTGCCCAGAGGGCGTTAGAACGGAGTGTGGTGGCCACACCCAGCTGCAAGGGTGCCTGGGCAATGAAGCCTTTACTCTGGGAGGGAAGAACTGAAAACGAGGAGGAAAGGGAAACAGACATCGGGGTGGAAAGCGGCAGAGGGTGAGCGCGGACCAGGCCAGCGGGACAGAGTCGGGACACGTTGCCGAAGGGGCCTCCTCCGGGGTGGCCAGAAGAGAGGAAGGGTCGGAGAAGCCCTCGGTTTCTCATGCCCGGGTGACCGTGGCAGAGGCCTTGGGGTCGTGGTGGCGGGAGAGGTTCTGACTTCGGTTTCTGTCCCGCCGGAGCCTGTGTTTCCTTAGAACTGGTATGAGTGAGAAGACTGGGTGACGCGAGTCTGGCCCCCCTCCCTGTCTCTGTGCTCGGCCCCGGGCCCGTTCTCCTCTCCGAGCCTCCGCGTCTCTGTCGACAAGATGGAGACAGTAACCCCCGTCTCGTGGCCTCGTGGTGGACATCAGCGATAACTCACACTGCGTTTTTGTGAAGTACATGGGGCCTTCGGAGAGCCCACGTGTCCAACCCCGCGAGCCACCCCGTGAGAGTATTGGCTGGCCATTGCTGGGCAACACGCCGTCCGTGCTTAGTGGCTCCTTGCGGGCTTAGTGCACAACGGTGGGGTGGCCAAGCACTTCTGTCGACCCGGGCCCGCTCCGCTGATCCTAGCTGGGCCCGCTGATGGTCCCGCTGGGCCGGATGACCTAGGGTAGCCCCGTCTGCGATGACCGCCCCATGCCCTCTTCGCCCGCAGCGGGTGCGTGTGGGCTTGTTCGGTCAGGGGCTGTACTTGCTTCTAAGAAAGGAGATAGAGCTATTCCAGGCCTTCCAAGGCCTAGCTAAAAGCTGGGCCACTGTCATGTCTGTCTCATTCTCTTGGCCACAGCAGGTCATAGGGCACCGCCAGGAGGCTTGGAAATGCGTTCCCCCTCTTTACAGAAACCTCTGCAATATCATATCGCAAACACACTGAACGCAGAGAAGAGTGAGTTACTGGGGCGACAATTGCAAGCAGTCTACCACTGTGTTTTAAACTGGTTTCACCAAGTTTGTTTTGGGAAATGGGCCATCTGGGATAGGGTGGAGCTTCATCCTCAGGGACCCAGGCTTCTGCTTGTTTAATCCTCTTAGTAGCTTGTAACTTCTATCTTCAGGCTCACTTATGGCTCAGGATGGCTGCGAGAGCTCCAGCCATCATATATGTGCTCCAAGAAGGAGAAAGGGGGGAGCAAAGAGGATATATTTCTGAGTTGAATCAGCCCCAGTTACAAACGAAAACCAAAGAACTCCCCTGAAAGCTTTGCCCGGCAAATCAACCTCTATCTGTAAGGTCCCCTGGGCGAGGCGGCCTTTCAGCGGACCTGAATAGAATTGGGGTCCACTGGTAAAGACAGGGGGATGATGGGTGTGGTAATTTGGAGTCCCTTCCACAAAAGGCCATTGGCATTAGCCCTGCCCTGTGCCAGACCGGGGGAGCAGAGGCTGATGACCCCTCTGTTTTTGGGGAACACACAGCCTGGCAGAAGAGACACCATCACAGTCAACTGTCCCCGCTTGTCAGCCCCTCCCCGAGCCTGGCCGCGGGCTGGAGGGCTCGGGGACCACCGGAAAATGGGTGGTGATGGCCGCGTCTCTCCCTCCAGCAATGCTGTGACTGCTGTGGCCTGGGCCTCCGCGTGCGGGCCGAGGGCCAGTCGTGCGAGTCCAACCCCAACCTGGGCTACCCCTGCAACCACGTCATGCTGTCCTGCTGTGAGGGCGAGGAGCCCCTCATCGTGCCCGAGGTCCGCCAGCCTCCGGAGCCTGCGGCCGCACCGCGGAGAGGTGGGGGCTGCCTCTTCCTGCTGGGGCGGCGGGGACCGGGGGCGGCGACCGCTGACCTTCTGGGGGGACTCTGGGCCTGTGTGTCGTCGTCTGTGGCTTGAGGCCCAAGCTGTGCCCTACACAGAGTTCTGTGGCCCGTGACGGTGGAGCCTCCCCGTTATTTCCAAGGTGGCGACCACATTCCGTGTTCTGTGCACCACCCGCGCCTAAGCAGCAGCCACCACCCGACACCCTCCCACTGTGGCCCCACCGCCCTCCCAGCTTGTTGTCCACTCACACATCCACGCGTCTTCCCCCTCCGCTCTCGAATCTGCTCCCGACTCAGCCATCCGTGTCCCCCCGCCCCCCCTTCTTTCC